TTTTAAAGTCATATATTGTGGATTTTCAAACCTACATATATATATGTATACACACACACACATTATATGCTACTCCCTCCGTCCCTTATAATTTTGCCAACTTTCCTTTTTTGGATGTCCCATTAACTTTGCCACTTTCCCATTTGAGTAAAGAATTTGTGGTTCCAGTTAATTCTCTCTCCTCTGCACAAACCTCAACCACACAGTTTTTACTTTATTAATCCCCGTGCCAGTCAAACTTGGCAAAGTTATTAGGGACGGAGGGAGTATAATCCAATGGTCTGATATTGTAAATAGGCTTGTCGTGTAAATCCGTGGGTCTTTGCGCGCCGTCGATCGTGGAGGACGCGAGTCGGGGTACGTCACGTGAGTCACGACGACATCGTTCTTGTTTTGTGTGAGTATCACTGCGGGTCTGCGGCGCTGCTTTGGTTCGTGGGAGTGAGTGTTGCGACGGGAATAGGCAGACCGGAGTTTGCGTTGCTTTTGTTTCTTTGGAGCGGGCTTCGCTCTCGGCAGTTTAGAAGAATAACTGAACGACATGGCGAAGATGGAAGATATGGTGAACAAATGCGACAACATGGTGCTCGGAGGGGATGTGGAAGAACTGGTCTTGGACGAGGAGTTTGACAGAATAATGGTTTACCCTATTGGGTGACTTACCTTTATATTTATAATAAAACAGAGTTATGGAATATTACAAAGTAATCCCTACATTATTACACCCCCTCAATTTGTGCAGGGGAAATCACGTGCAAATCGGAACGTAAAAATTCAAAACGCTGACTAGATAAATTCTTGGTGAAGATATTAGCTAACTGCAACTGTGTAGGAATATGTGGTGGTCAATTGCTCTGGATGAAGCAACAACTCAAAGATTATGGACTTCATGCAAAGAAGATCAAGCTCCTTTGTGAAAACACAAGTGCTATTGCCATCACTCAAAATCCAGTGCTACACTCCAGGACAAAGCATATTGAGATCATATATCATTTCATCAGAGATCATGTTGAAAAGATACACATATGCATGGAGCATGTTCCAACAGAAGACCAGCTGGCAGACATCCTCACTAAATCTGTCACTGATGCTCACAGAAAACACATAACATCTTCAGGAAATGATGAATTTTATTCTGATCCACCCAAAGTTGAATCCAAAGTTGATACTACACTTGCCTCAAACTTGTCCTTCCTCAAACTTGTCCTATGATGATGCTCCATCTGAGGACGTCTCTATTTCCCATACTTTTTCTATTGTTAGAGGTATATCGGCAGACGAGAAAGAGTGCCCCGACGGATTCTTCGCGCCAGTAAGAAACGAAAATTCTTAGGTGTATCTTTGACCTCCCTCCTGAGTCACTAGGTACATTTATTACTTTTCTACAATTAATTAGCTTTGTTTACTTTATTAGCTGAAGTCCAGGGTCTAGAGTAATTTGGGGAAGTAGCTTGGGTATTGGGTAAGTAAAAAAATTAGTTTACGGTGATCTAAATGGGGTTTCAAAAAATACCTTCACACACTTGAATCAGTCTACTAATCTTTTTATGTGGATTTTTTCTGAAAAGACTCTAATTTTATTGTTGTTGTTATCAGATCACTATTACTATCATCATCATTGTTATTATTATTAAACCTATAGTACTCCCTCATTCCTATTAGCTAATCATGCGAATAAACGGGAACAATTTATGTTGTAGTTACAAACTTACACTCATACGAACAAACAGCTAGCCATAGTGCCATACGGCCCAAACCTGATTCTAGGCTTCCAGCTCATCTGATATTGTAGAAGTTATTTTTTAAACCATCTGAATTCATAAGTGGAATTTTCCTTCAAGATGTAAAAATGAACTATTCCTCCTTGGTAAATTTCCCCCCTTTTGCATAATTTTCTTTCTAAATGTTATTGATTACATTAACGAAGCAGGATGACGCTTCACAATCATATGGTGCCTTTCTCACGTTGCGGCTCACTGCAATTCTACGAAAAACACCCTTCAATCTTCTCTCCCATCCTCAGGTTAGTATTCAATATATTTTTTGCTTAATATTAGAATAAATCATTGTTGTTTCACATCCATCTGGAGTAATTGAACAATTCTAGGTTAAGTTCCTACTACATTACCAATTTATTCCATTTCCGCTACTTTAAAAATGTGAGATGAATTTGGGTGTGTGTATATAGCTGAAATCAAAATGTCTCTTATTTGATGGATTTTTTTCATTATTTTAACCCTTTTTCCATATGCTTTTTTCAATTTTTTATGCTGAGTTGAGATGTGAGATGGATGAAAGTATCTTCCTTGCAGGGAATTGTGAGACCTCACATGGGATGGTCAAACCCAATTTCTTCCTCTGCCCTCTTAAGCAAGCTCTGAAGTGAGTGATGGTTCAGGTATGTTATGAGCACCACATATCTCTTCTTCTCAGTCTCTCCAGCATAGATTGCAAAAAGACCCTTTGGAACATCTCAATGATTTGTTGATCTAAGTGGGTAAAGAGTGTGAAATTGTTTGGCATTCACAATGGCTGTGAGCAATCTGATAGCCATATACACTATCTGTTCTTTGTGTTTTGTTTGTAATGGAAGTTTGAGCTGAGTTCTTTTGAGAGTGGAGTGTTTGTTAGATATTGGAATGGATCTGAGAGTTGGAAAGAAAGAGTGTTGTTGGGATTCATTTATAAGGGGTTGGCTGATGGGTTTCCACTATCCAATTAGAGTGATCAGTTCAGGTGTGCCGTGTGCAATATCATCTTGTAAGTATGTATTACTCAACTAATGTGTACATCTGTTCTTTTTTGTTTCTTCTCAGATGTCTGAGCATTCCATCAATAGTGACTGGTCTTTTAACACAAAGGAATTATTAGAAATAAGGATAAGATGTAGAGAGGTAAGTTATACTCTGTACAATCTAATTAATCCATCCAGTTTACAACTTTTGCTAAACAATTTTTTTGGGATCTTTAGGTTTCCATTACAAAGATTTACAATCTCATTTATCTTAGATACCCATTGTTCTAGCGGCTCTGCTAATGAGCTTCTAATTTTTCCTTAGTAGCCAAAGAAAAAAAGGTTTTGTTAAGAGACTCACAACTTCCATTTATACGAAAGCTTCCTTACCCCTTTCTTCTTTTTCTTCTTCAGTGCACACCAACATAATCAAAACCACGACCTAGCTGCTCGAGTGTTTCTTCTTCGTGCAGAGAGAAGTTTTGCATAGAAATATTTTCAAACTCTTCTTCACTCATGGTTCCTTATCCAAATGAATTCAGGAGATCTTCCATTCTTAAGGTATGATTGATTTTCTCTCTCAAAACCATTCGTAAATGATTTCTTCGATGATTGTTTTAATAAGCATGAGAAAATGTTTACATAGATATACTGCTTTACACCATTTAGAAGCAATGTGTTCAGTTATAGGTCTTATGATATACGTTTCAGCCCCTTCCTACAACAGGATAATTTTTATTTATCCTTTTCAGTTTGCATAAGATTGTAATTTTTTAAGATCTTTGGATTTTTTTTATTGTCTTGGTGTATCAAATTTCCAAGATCATCATTTGGTTGGATTTGAGGAACTGGACAGTGTGATTAATACACTTCGCCCCTATTAGAAAGCGCTCCCAGGCACAAGTAAGTTTTCCGTATTGTTCGCTATTTTTTACTCTCAAAAGATTCTTTATTGCATTGTGCTGAGTAACACACTTATTTTCTGTGAACGGAGAAATGGGAGAAATAGCAAAGTGGCTTCTATACTTGATGACAAAACTTTTTAATGTGAAAATCATGTGGGACACACGGTTTGGCTTTTATTTTTCTTTCTTCTTTAGATAATTAATTTTGTGCTACTTTATTGCCTATTTTCCCCCATTGGGCACTGACCCTCGCGCAACGCGCGTGCCGATGCTAGTGGAGTTTATAAGGTTGCTCGGGTAACACCATCAATTGTAAATTTGCAATAACTAGATTATAGACTATTTACGTGAATGTTTACTTTCTCGTTGATTTGAGTAATTGACCACGCTAGGACCCATATAGTTGGAGGTTGATGTACATAACATACCCAAAATATAGTTAAGCATTCACACGTACGAAGTATACTTTTTGTGAGGGTATGTTTGCAAAAAAAGCTAAAAAAATACATTAAGTTATGTTTGCAAAAAAAAAATAACTTTTGGCTTAAAAAGCCGAAATGAGTGCTATCAAGTTATAATTTGTACTTAAATTAAAATGCTTAAAAGGTAAAAGCTAAAATCTGCTTTAATGTTTTCTATTATACAAAAAGAACATATTTTTTTAAACACTACCAATTTTTACATCAAACACTATCAACTTTTACTATTGATCACTTTTTTCCAAAATCACTTTAAAAAGTCATATTTTTTTAAACAGAAGCGATTGCAAAGACTCTATAGTGTTGTTAGTATGTTACAATGGGTTTGGACAATTATACCCTCTTTATTTAATTACTTTTGAAAAGTTTCTTATTGTTTCGTTTATGATGAGCATGTTTGGTAGGCATTAGTCACTACCTTCTAGCTTCTCTACTATTTAAAAAGTCTTTAAAAGTTTCTAGTTGTATGTTTGACATGTCAAGTTTTAAGAACTTTTTGAAAAATAGAAAGATCTTTTTTTAGATTCTACAATGAGTAACATCTGAAAAAAGTTTGTAGCTTTCAGTATTAATTAGTCCTAACAACTTGTATATCAAACAAAACTAAATCAAATGGTCAGCTTTTTATTAAACAACTACTACCTTTTGATTTTAAGATCTTTTCAGACACTAAAAGTTACCAGTTACCAAAAAGTTCATTGAAGTATCTTTTTAGTTAGTTATGTCCAATATACCCTATTTCAACTTTGCGTCATACTTATATGGACCGGCCTGAGCTGAGTATTGGTTTCTTTCATGGTAGAGTTAATTAAAGTCATATTTGTTCATTTTAAAAGGTGATGAAAAATGAATTGATCCAAAATTAATTAAACGTAGGTACGTACCCGGTATCCTTGGATGCCATGAAGGCTGGAAGCAGGCACATCAGCTGAGTACCACACGCCCTTCTTTGCCTCAATCATTGGCCACATTATTCCCCATGATATTATCGCTCCTATCAGCAACGACACATTTACCATTGCGGGGCAAAGCATCCCCACCCCAACATATGTTGACGAAAAATCAAAGTAGAACCTGAATTGGAGTATAACATACATATCGCATTTAATGCATTTACACTATCAAGTTTGCAAGCAAATAAAATTACAAGACTAGTAAAAATGTGCATAATAGAAATGACGAGACTAAAATGCAAATAACAGTTTTCACAATTATTGAAACCAAACTATTCAAGTATAGTTGCATATTTTTCTATAACTCCTTCAGAGTGCCGTTCCTGTCAGGCGGGCCTCACAGGACCCGCCGTCCGGCCGAACCCGTTTGAGGGTCTTCCCGGTGAAATTTCTGGATGAAATTGTTTGAGCATGTTCTTCATCAAGAAGAGTTTACTCATACCAAACTTCAGCTAAAAACTCAATCGGAAAGGCAGTCAAATAATAAATTATTTAAGAACACTGCGCAGTTAAAATATACTCTCTCCGTCCCGCTATTAACTTCCTACTTTGACCTACACACATATTTAGGAAATAAATTTGACTTTACTATTTAGACACTGTTTGACACTGTTTAGACACTGTTTGGCACTGTTTAGACACTGTTTGGCACTGTTTTGCACTGTTTGACACTGTTTTGATGTAGAATAACTTTCCATTTAGGGAAATGAGAAGATGATTTTGGGACGGCCCAAAAAGGAAAGCAGGAAGTTAATAGCGGGACGGAGGGAGTATATAAACAGTGCAGTATTTTTCAAAAAATCATTTGACTGCCTTCCCGATTGAATTTTTAGCTGATATTTGGTATGGGTAAACTAGACTTGATTAAGAACATGCTCACAAAATATCATCGAAAAATTCCACCAAAAAGGCCCTCAAACGGGCTCTTAGCCGGAGAGCTGCCCCGATCAAGTCGGCCTGACATGAAGTTTCATCAAGTCCGTCATTGTTTGGAACAAAAATACTATTTGCACATGTCCGAATCCATACACGTCGTTTGTGAGAGTATTTTTTGTCGGTGAATAGTGTATTTAAGGACAAAAAATACTCTGAAAAACGGCGTATATTAAGCGTGTATGGATTTGGGAGTGTATAATTCTTGAACAGAGGAAGTATGATTGTATGAAGTACGGAGTATATACTTCGTATTAACCTTTTAGCATACGCTTGGAAACCAAAAGTAGGGAAACTGGCAAAGCCACAATCATCTCCGCCAGCAAAAAACCACTGGAAACCTGCGAATAGAAAGCTAAACGAAAAGGTCTTGAACAGAGTCCCCACTTGTCTCCTGCATCATTGCAAAAAAAGATACGTAGTTTATTTACGGTTCAAAGTGAAAATTTTCATGGATTATTAGCTCTAGGGATACAGATTACTTTTCATAATGTATATAATAATCCCATTAATTACGGAAAAAGTATTTTCACCCCTCAAATATAGGGGTTATTGCTGTTTATCTTTAGCGTTTTAATTAAGTCTATATATGTCTTTTCATATACGGAGTATCAATAAATCAATCTTGGAACCATGCATAATTTTTTTTCATAAATAGAGATCCAAGTGATGAATTAAAATGTCAATTTTATAATTAGATATCAAAATTGCCAAAACAGCAATTTATATCATTGAACTAAACTCGAAACATTGACGATTTCAAATTTATTTTATTTTTTTTTTATTTTCTAAATACAACCATAAATTGTCATGTCACCGTAAATTCACTTTATAAACAATTTCAATTGCGTGTCCTCCACGTTTTGCAATTTATGGTATCAAATTGTCGATATTTGAAAAGATATAAGGTTAAGTTACCAAAAGAATTCTAACTAACTGGGCCAGTTCTTATATATGGGACAAAAAATAATGGATACGTATGAAAGCGTGAATAATTAATTATATTTACTTTGCTAGTTTAGCTCCTTTTGGGGTGTGGAAACTATTGATAAGGTAAGCCGTTGCAGTTCCACTTGGGTATGTGAGTTTGAACTTCAGCACCATCATCTGTACATAAAAATATTCATGCCGGCCCGAAATTAATTAATGAAACGCAATCCAAATATGAAAGAAAAAGATCAACCCCCACATAATAATATATTAGAAAATGTTAAGTTTAGTTAATTATAGGATGATGAAATGTAATGTATAATAATAAATAAAGTCTTTGCTTTTGAAAATATATGCAACATACGTAAGGTACCGTACACTTCTATTTGTCTACTAATAATTACACAATCATTATATATAGTTGATGAACAAAAATTTGTAGCTTTTGAATTTGTGCTCCTACAGTGAGATTTTTCTGCCCTATACTCAAAATGAACTCTTTGATTCAAATGCTTTTAAATTATAATTATAATTAAAATTATAATTATAATTACGACGGGTCCTGTGAGGCCCGCCTGACAGGAACGGCACTCTGAAGGAGTTATAGAAAAATATGCAACTATACTTGAATAGTTTGGTTTCAATAATTGTGAAAACTGTTATTTGCATTTTAGTCTCGTCATTTCTATTATGCACATTTTTACTAGTCTTGTAATTTTATTTGCTTGCAAACTTGATAGTGTAAATGCATTAAATGCGATATGTATGTTATACTCCAATTCAGGTTCTACTTTGATTTTTCGTCAACATATGTTGGGGTGGGGATGCTTTGCCCCGCAATGGTAAATGTGTCGTTGCTGATAGGAGCGATAATATCATGGGGAATAATGTGGCCAATGATTGAGGCAAAGAAGGGCGTGTGGTACTCAGCTGATGTGCCTGCTTCCAGCCTTCATGGCATCCAAGGATACCGGGTACGTACCTACGTTTAATTAATTTTGGATCAATTCATTTTTCATCACCTTTTAAAATGAACAAATATGACTTTAATTAACTCTACCATGAAAGAAACCAATACTCAGCTCAGGCCGGTCCATATAAGTATGACGCAAAGTTGAAATAGGGTATATTGGACATAACTAACTAAAAAGATACTTCAATGAACTTTTTGGTAACTGGTAACTTTTAGTGTCTGAAAAGATCTTAAAATCAAAAGGTAGTAGTTGTTTAATAAAAAGCTGACCATTTGATTTAGTTTTGTTTGATATACAAGTTGTTAGGACTAATTAATACTGAAAGCTACAAACTTTTTTCAGATGTTACTCATTGTAGAATCTAAAAAAAGATCTTTCTATTTTTCAAAAAGTTCTTAAAACTTGACATGTCAAACATACAACTAGAAACTTTTAAAGACTTTTTAAATAGTAGAGAAGCTAGAAGGTAGTGACTAATGCCTACCAAACATGCTCATCATAAACGAAACAATAAGAAACTTTTCAAAAGTAATTAAATAAAGAGGGTATAATTGTCCAAACCCATTGTAACATACTAACAACACTATAGAGTCTTTGCAATCGCTTCTGTTTAAAAAAATATGACTTTTTAAAGTGATTTTGGAAAAAAGTGATCAATAGTAAAAGTTGATAGTGTTTGATGTAAAAATTGGTAGTGTTTAAAAAAATATGTTCTTTTTGTATAATAGAAAACATTAAAGCAGATTTTAGCTTTTACCTTTTAAGCATTTTAATTTAAGTACAAATTATAACTTGATAGCACTCATTTCGGCTTTTTAAGCCAAAAGTTATTTTTTTTTTGCAAACATAACTTAATGTATTTTTTTAGCTTTTTTTGCAAACATACCCTCACAAAAAGTATACTTCGTACGTGTGAATGCTTAACTATATTTTGGGTATGTTATGTACATCAACCTCCAACTATATGGGTCCTAGCGTGGTCAATTACTCAAATCAACGAGAAAGTAAACATTCACGTAAATAGTCTATAATCTAGTTATTGCAAATTTACAATTGATGGTGTTACCCGAGCAACCTTATAAACTCCACTAGCATCGGCACGCGCGTTGCGCGAGGGTCAGTGCCCAATGGGGGAAAATAGGCAATAAAGTAGCACAAAATTAATTATCTAAAGAAGAAAGAAAAATAAAAGCCAAACCGTGTGTCCCACATGATTTTCACATTAAAAAGTTTTGTCATCAAGTATAGAAGCCACTTTGCTATTTCTCCCATTTCTCCGTTCACAGAAAATAAGTGTGTTACTCAGCACAATGCAATAAAGAATCTTTTGAGAGTAAAAAATAGCGAACAATACGGAAAACTTACTTGTGCCTGGGAGCGCTTTCTAATAGGGGCGAAGTGTATTAATCACACTGTCCAGTTCCTCAAATCCAACCAAATGATGATCTTGGAAATTTGATACACCAAGACAATAAAAAAAATCCAAAGATCTTAAAAAATTACAATCTTATGCAAACTGAAAAGGATAAATAAAAATTATCCTGTTGTAGGAAGGGGCTGAAACGTATATCATAAGACCTATAACTGAACACATTGCTTCTAAATGGTGTAAAGCAGTATATCTATGTAAACATTTTCTCATGCTTATTAAAACAATCATCGAAGAAATCATTTACGAATGGTTTTGAGAGAGAAAATCAATCATACCTTAAGAATGGAAGATCTCCTGAATTCATTTGGATAAGGAACCATGAGTGAAGAAGAGTTTGAAAATATTTCTATGCAAAACTTCTCTCTGCACGAAGAAGAAACACTCGAGCAGCTAGGTCGTGGTTTTGATTATGTTGGTGTGCACTGAAGAAGAAAAAGAAGAAAGGGGTAAGGAAGCTTTCGTATAAATGGAAGTTGTGAGTCTCTTAACAAAACCTTTTTTTCTTTGGCTACTAAGGAAAAATTAGAAGCTCATTAGCAGAGCCGCTAGAACAATGGGTATCTAAGATAAATGAGATTGTAAATCTTTGTAATGGAAACCTAAAGATCCCAAAAAAATTGTTTAGCAAAAGTTGTAAACTGGATGGATTAATTAGATTGTACAGAGTATAACTTACCTCTCTACATCTTATCCTTATTTCTAATAATTCCTTTGTGTTAAAAGACCAGTCACTATTGATGGAATGCTCAGACATCTGAGAAGAAACAAAAAAGAACAGATGTACACATTAGTTGAGTAATACATACTTACAAGATGATATTGCACACGGCACACCTGAACTGATCACTCTAATTGGATAGTGGAAACCCATCAGCCAACCCCTTATAAATGAATCCCAACAACACTCTTTCTTTCCAACTCTCAGATCCATTCCAATATCTAACAAACACTCCACTCTCAAAAGAACTCAGCTCAAACTTCCATTACAAACAAAACACAAAGAACAGATAGTGTATATGGCTATCAGATTGCTCACAGCCATTGTGAATGCCAAACAATTTCACACTCTTTACCCACTTAGATCAACAAATCATTGAGATGTTCCAAAGGGTCTTTTTGCAATCTATGCTGGAGAGACTGAGAAGAAGAGATATGTGGTGCTCATAACATACCTGAACCATCACTCACTTCAGAGCTTGCTTAAGAGGGCAGAGGAAGAAATTGGGTTTGACCATCCCATGTGAGGTCTCACAATTCCCTGCAAGGAAGATACTTTCATCCATCTCACATCTCAACTCAGCATAAAAAATTGAAAAAAGCATATGGAAAAAGGGTTAAAATAATGAAAAAAATCCATCAAATAAGAGACATTTTGATTTCAGCTATATACACACACCCAAATTCATCTCACATTTTTAAAGTAGCGGAAATGGAATAAATTGGTAATGTAGTAGGAACTTAACCTAGAATTGTTCAATTACTCCAGATGGATGTGAAACAACAATGATTTATTCTAATATTAAGCAAAAAATATATTGAATACTAACCTGAGGATGGGAGAGAAGATTGAAGGGTGTTTTTCGTAGAATTGCAGTGAGCCGCAACGTGAGAAAGGCACCATATGATTGTGAAGCGTCATCCTGCTTCGTTAATGTAATCAATAACATTTAGAAAGAAAATTATGCAAAAGGGGGGAAATTTACCAAGGAGGAATAGTTCATTTTTACATCTTGAAGGAAAATTCCACTTATGAATTCAGATGGTTTAAAAAATAACTTCTACAATATCAGATGAGCTGGAAGCCTAGAATCAGGTTTGGGCCGTATGGCACTATGGCTAGCTGTTTGTTCGTATGAGTGTAAGTTTGTAACTACAACATAAATTGTTCCCGTTTATTCGCATGATTAGCTAATAGGAATGAGGGAGTACTATAGGTTTAATAATAATAACAATGATGATGATAGTAATAGTGATCTGATAACAACAACAATAAAATTAGAGTCTTTTCAGAAAAAATCCACATAAAAAGATTAGTAGACTGATTCAAGTGTGTGAAGGTATTTTTTGAAACCCCATTTAGATCACCGTAAACTAATTTTTTTACTTACCCAATACCCAAGCTACTTCCCCAAATTACTCTAGACCCTGGACTTCAGCTAATAAAGTAAACAAAGCTAATTAATTGTAGAAAAGTAATAAATGTACCTAGTGACTCAGGAGGGAGGTCAAAGATACACCTAAGAATTTTCGTTTCTTACTGGCGCGAAGAATCCGTCGGGGCACTCTTTCTCGTCTGCCGATATACCTCTAACAATAGAAAAAGTATGGGAAATAGAGACGTCCTCAGATGGAGCATCATCATAGGACAAGTTTGAGGAAGGACAAGTTTGAGGCAAGTGTAGTATCAACTTTGGATTCAACTTTGGGTGGATCAGAATAAAATTCATCATTTCCTGAAGATGTTATGTGTTTTCTGTGAGCATCAGTGACAATCAAAAGTGGATGAACTTCACCAACGGTTACTGCCTTGTTAGAGGTAGCCACCGTGGGTTCATCTAAGCCTACCGTAGTATCCAAATTGGTCAGTGTGCCATAATGGATCCTAAACCAGCATCAAAAGGGCCTGGGAATGAATTTTCCTCATGGACAGTTTCAAGAGCAGTATCAAGTGCAACACTAAACTGCTTCAAAAGAATTGGGACAGAATTTTCAACTTGGACAGTTTCATATTTGAGTTACACCAATATGCTTCATATATAAATGTAGCACTGAATCATCCAATGTACTTGGCACGAATATGTACATAAACCAAGGTTGTCCTTGACACAGGGGCGGATCTATGCCTTGAGAAGTGGGGGCAAGTGCCCCCAATAAAAGTTCAAAATTTTAGTATATAATTAGGTTATTTGTTGTAAAAATAAAGTTTGCCCCCAATCAAATTCGTAGGTTGCCCCCAATGAATTTATTAGATTGCCCCCAACAAAATTTTTATTACAAGAAAAATCATATGGATTATTCTACCTAGTAATTTATAAGTATGTTACTTATTTAAATATATAATTGAGATTACTTGAACAAATCATAGTAATCTCTAGAAATAATATTCATATGAAATTGAACCAAAATGTTCTTAAATTAAAGGGAAAGAATATGTTCTTAAATCATAGTAGTCAGTATTCATCATTCTTTTTCTACATTAATCAAGTTATCAATTCTCACTATTAATCAGTGTGCTATTTCAATGTTAGAAGGTATTTTGAGAGGTATATCATTTGACACTTTAGACCTTTTATGCAAACATTAGCGATTATTTAGCACTAAAAGCTTGAATTGATAAGGTTAGTATAAAGTTATTGTTCAGTTACTTAGTGAATTGATTTTGAGATTAATCTTGTATTAAACTTTCGATGCCAAATTGCACTAATTAAATTCAATTTATCATGTTTATAATGATGTTTTTATTTGGACTCAAATTTTCTTGTCTGGTCCGTTTCAGCTTCGTCTGATCTAGTCTGAAGTGATTTGGTCTGCTCTAGTAAATGTCTAGTCTTTATGTATTTTAAAACTG